GGGAGAATTAAAGTAGAATTTCTGTCACCAATAAAAATAAATTACTTTCTCTAACATGTCCCTCTGCAGTGAGAAAATGTGCCCAGAGGATGAATCAGGAAAGCCTGGGATGGCCTTTCTCACAATCAGTTGTAACCCAGGCCTCTACACAGACTTCTAGAGAGGCCAGTCTCTCTGTGTTTGCACTTCAGCAAGCAAAAAATCATTTTTTCTTACTGTTCCATGGCTTTTGTGAGGCCTAAAGCTCACACAGGTAAGGGCATCGTTATGACCCAGGAGACAAATTACTAATACAATGTGAGTACCCGGCCTTGGAAGGAACCTGCTCAGCTAAGAGGCCCTGGAGTTCAGCTTCAACCTTGTCAAGGCCAGTCTGCTTCTGCTCCCAGATCTGAAAGAGCTGAGGGATTCAAAGCTCCAATGTGTCAAAGAAGCAACTCTATTATCAAACATTTATTAAATTTCCACTCAACACAACACTGACTCAGCAAACACTAATCCAGCAGCTTCTTGTTATTGCTGAGGTTATATGAGGATTATGAAACCTAGTCACCACCCTCAAAAGTTTTAATGTAACTGAAAAATAGGAGGTTATATGGCTGGAACTTACAGGCTGGTGAGACCATGTATTTTTTCAGACTCCCTGAATTTTTTGTTTAATTTCAGGAATATGGGACAGATCAAGAAAACGGGAAAGATTTATGATTATTATTAAATTTGTGATTGAAGGATTAGCAAGATAAAGACATACTAAAGACTGCCATTCAATAACTGACAACTTACCTAAATCCAGTCATTAAAAAATATTTTGACCCTGGCCGGGTAGCTCAGTTGGTTAGAGCATCATCCCAATACACCAAGGTTGTGGACTCAATCCCCGGTCAGGGCACATACAAGGATCAACCAATGAATACATAAATAAGTGGAACAACAAATCCATATTTCTTTCTCTCTCCCTCTCTCTCAAATCAATAAATTTTAAAAAAATATTTTGAACAACAGAGTTATAGAAAAGACAACAGAAATCAACCCACAATGGTTGGCTCTTTCCATTTTTGACACGAGAAGGCTTCTGTCATGTACTCACCATCAGTTACGGTCAACCTTACCACAAAGGTTTCATTTTCTCCTGTGCTGGCCTTGAAGCAACAACGGTAAAGTCCGGAGTCAGAGGCCACGACGTGGGGCATGAGGATAAAGCTCCTTCTCATCCCCTGGCTACAGTTGCTCAGGATTTGCCTCCTAAACCTTGAGGGGGAGCTTTTCCCTTGGGATAAGTTGCAGCTGATTAGGAGGTCGATCTGATGGGACTGGACCTTTTCCCATGTGACTTGTTGCATGGGACCCTTCATTTGAAGTTCGTACATGAATGTGATGTTTTCTCCAGGTTCTGAGACCACATGGCTATTCAATGGCACAGCTATCTCAAAGCTATCTGAAAAGAAGAAGACATTAATTATCCTTAGGTCCTCAAACTTTTAAATGGGAAGGTAGAAGATACTCAGAAAATTCCATCAGAAAGATTGGTGATGTCATTTAACATAGTTTCAGGGATTGCAGACAGCTTTATACCGAATTTTTGTAAGAAGAAGGCTTTTGAAAGAATGTGCTCACACATATTCTCTTAACTTTTACTTGGTTAACCATATAACAAGAAACATCATCAAAACCTCTGGTGCTTTTCTTGGTAGTGATCGTTTCAAGAGGATGAATGTCACAAGTGATCATATCAAGTGGTTGAATGGGTTGCTGATTCACACACTGACTCTGAGTATCCAATATCCTATATAAGAAAGGGCTAATACACAAATCAAATGGCAGAATGACCAGTCACTATGACATGCACTGACCACCAGGGGGCAGATGCTCAATGCAGGAGCTGTCCCCTCGTGGTCAGTGCGCTCCTAGTGGGAGTGCCACTCAGCCAGAAGCCAGGCTACGAGAGGGCACAGGCTGGACTGAGGGACCCCCTCCCTCCAGTGCACAAATTTTGTGCACCAGGCCTCTAGTCTAGATTATAATAATGCCAACTAAGATTTTATTATTCATAAAAGAGATACCAAATCATCTTCATTGAATATATACATAAATTCATTTTTCAGACATATGGGTTGTCTTATGCATAAAGTAAGAACCCTGTGTTTTGTGACTTCCTGGGTAACTATAGAGTCCTCCAATGTTTTCCCACCTTCCTACCACCATAGCTGGAATACCCAGCACACAGCACTTAGTACATAATCACTAGATACCTCAATCAACAGTTTTTATAGTGTGGCCTGATATCCTAAAGGGTTCCTGTATCCCTCTCTGAGAACTGAAAGATCACACCCATTTTAATTGTCATATTAAAATGTAATTTACTTTTTTAACTCTTATTCTATAAGAATATGTATATTATAAATTCACTCTTATCCTGTAAGAATATATAGTAGAGATTTTCAGAGTCTCTGATGGCCACTGGGATGTGTGCTTATATGCTTATAAATTCTGGTCTTTTAAATTTTGTTTGGTTTTCATTTCTATTACAATAAATATTTATAGAACAAAATTCTTTGGGTTCTTCAATCATTTTTAAAAGAATAAATGGGGAAAAACAATTCTAAAATTCATATGGAACCACAAAAGGCCACAATAGATGAAACAAGCTTGAAAAAGAACAAAGCTGGAGGTGTCACACTTCCTGATTTCAAACTAAACTACAAAGCCACAATAATTAAAACAACCTGGTACTGGCAAAAAGACAAAAATATAGAAGAGAATGGAAAGCCCAGAAATAAATCTATATATACATGGTCAGCGGATCTTCAACCAGAGTGCCAAGAATGCACAATGGAGAAAGGATAGTCTCTTCAACACATGTTCTTGGAAAAACAGGCATACACATTATAAAAGGACAAAATTGGACCTTTCTCTTATACCATGCATAAAAACCTACTCAAAATGGATAAAGACTTAAATGTAAGTTCTGAAACTGTTTAACACTCCCAGAAGAAAACATAGGAGAAAGTTTCATGACATTGACCTTGGCAATGATTCTTGAATATGACACCAAAAGCATAGGCAACAAAAGGAAAAATAGACAAGTGAGACTACATCAAACTAAAGTATTTCCTCACAGCAAAGGAAACAGTGAACATAGTGAAAAGGCAACCTACACAATGGGAGAAAACATTTGCAAACCATATACCTGGAAGGATTAATTTCCAAAATATGTAAGGCATTCCTACAACTCAATAGCAAAATAAAAAAACAAACCAATAACTACTTATTTAAGTTGAAAAATGGGATAAAGACTTGAATAGACATTTCTCTAAAGAAGATGTACAAATGGCTAACTGATTTATAAAAAGACGTTCAATGCCACTAATCATTAGGGAAACACAAATCAAAATCACAATGAGATATCACCTCACATCTGTTAGGATGACTATTACAAAATAAAATAAAAAGAGAAAGAATTTTTGGTGAGGATGTGAAGAAATTGGAACCTTTTTCCATGGTAGGTAGAAATGTAAAATGGCACAGCCTCTATTGCAGCTCTATTCACAAATGAAAACATGTCCATTGATGGATAAATAGATTTTTAAAGTGTGGTATATATTACAATGGGATGTTATTCAGCCTTTAAAAAGAAGGAAATCCTGCATTATGATACAATGCTGATAAACCTGGAAGACAGTATGCCAAATGAAATAAATCAGACACAGAAATAAATCCCATGTATATGGTCAGTTGATTTTTAACAAGAGTGCCAAGAATGCACAATGGAGAATGCTGCATGATTCCACTTCTGTAAGGAATCTCAAATAGTCAGACTCATAGATGTGAAGAATAGAATGGTGGCTGCCAGGGGCTGGGCAGGGGAGTTGTGGGGAGTTGTGTCTCAGTGGGTGTAGAGTTTCAGTTCTACTAGATAAATAGGTTCTAGAGATATGCTTGCTGTACAACATAGTGCCTGTAGTTAGCAACATTATTTGTATACTTAAAAATCTGTTAAGACTTTAGACTTCATGTTATGTTCTTAGCATAATAAAATCTTTTCTCAAAAAGGGTATAAAGGGAAAAGTTCCGAGCTCCACCCCTCGCATTGCTGCCCCGCCGCCTGGCCCCGGCGGACCCGCGACCTGCTACCGACCAATCTGCCTGGCACTTACCTGCACCATGTCTGGTTTCTCCAGCGTCACCGCTATGGAGAAAGTGGTTCAACAGCTCCGGCTGGAGGCCGGGCTCAACCCCGTGAAGGTTTCCCAGGCAGCGGCAGATTTGAAACAATTCTGTCTGCAGAATGATCAGCATGACCCCCTGTTGACTGGAGTATCTTCAAGTACCAATCCCTTCAGGCCCCAGAAAGTTTGCTCCTTTTTGTAGTAAAATGAATTTTGAAGGTGTTCTAAACCACTTTTCTTGAACTGGAGAATATTCAAAGAGAGCTAAATCTGAAGTCTGTACAAAAAGCTTACCCTATAACGTGCCATACTCTACAAACTTCTGCTTTTGTCAGTCCTTAACACCTACCTCTCTGAATTTTCATGAATTAATATTTCACAAGAATGATTATTTTATATACACTGGCAGCAGCATACAAATAAAATACTTTTAAAAAAAAGAGTATAAAGGGATCCTGAGACCAAACAATTGAAGAACCTGATCCAGAGAATAACCTTCAAGAATTAGGTTATTGGGGGGGAGTAGGGAGGGGGGTAGGTTATGTCAGTCTATTTAATCTGATAGTTCTGCTATGGCTGACAAGGAATTTCAACCTACTGTCCAAATAGAAAGGGCAGTCATGGTGTCACAGAGCCCTGGACAATAATGCGGAACTGAGAGACCATTAATCCCAGCCTCTCTGTGTCACTAACTCACTCAGGCTGGCCCGAGAGCCACTTTCTTGACGTCCAATGAAAAAGAAGAGAGGAGAGAAGAAGATCCCCACTTGAGAGTGTAAAATAAATTCTAAAATACAATAAGATTCGCTGTCTGTGTTCAACTAGAAGACTGTCTGTGAGAGTTTCGTCCCCACCAAACCAGCTTCTTCTCTTCAGGAAGTGGTTCCATGTGTCAGAAAGTTTTTGGAAAGAGAAAACCACAGCACTCCCGCTTCTCACCCGGTAGCTGTGCAACCATTTACCAAAGCTAACACTCTACCCACATGACAAGCACACAGGAAACATTTCATCTGGGGGTTACCAGCCAGCACAAGAACAAGGGGAAATAGAAGGAAAGAGAGAAAATCCATAAGAAATGAAAAAACGCCTCAACCGGTTTGGCTCAGTGGATAGAGCATCGGCCTGCAGACTGAAAGGTCCCAGGTTCGATTCCGATCAAGGGCATGTACCTGGGTTGTGGGCACATCCCCAGTGGGAGATGTGCAGGAGGCAGCTGATCGATGTTTCTCTCTCATCGATGTTTCTGACTCTCTATCTCTCTCCCTTTCTCTCTGTAAAAAATCAATTAAAAAAAGAAATGAAAAAAAGAATATAAAAGCTTAAAGGAAATAAATGAGCAATTAGAATAAGACAGGGAAAGAGGAGGCATGAGAAAATAAGAAGCCAGAGACAGTATCAATAAGAAGCTAAATCAAATCACAGCACACTGTGTTGAGAAAATGAAAGAACATAAAAGAAATGACAAAAAGAAAGGGAAACCCATTTTTACACCGCGCCGAAGCCTCGGAAATGAGACGCAGGCTGGCCTGGCGGCAGCATTGATGCTGGTCTTCAGAGCTCACATACCTGCTTGCTTTCCTCTGTGGCTACAGCTGTCCTCCAATCTCAGAAACTTGCTTTATCTGCCAATCTAACCCACCCTGCTACCAGGAAGCAACACCACGGACTGTGACTGGGTGTGAAGGGTCTGTATTTGCACAAAGGACAGACCCAGGAGGGAGGCCAGGCCTGGGGGTCTCAGGGGAAGGGGCTCTACATCAGGACCCAGGCTGGAACCGACAGAAGCCGGCCCGCCCCAGAGGCAGGTGGTTTGGAGGCACAGAGTGGACTCCCTTAACCTCTCCTGATGAACCGAAGAGCTGGCTGGAGTCAGGTGGAAATCTAGGCAAGGCCTGCACAACCGGCCTCCCTCACGTGGGGCCGGCTCGGAACACCCGATCCTCCTGCTCGGCACATGGAGAGCGACCAAAACAACCCGAAAACCAGGAGGACCCCACATGCACCAGGACCCTGGCACCCTGATTTAGAAAGCGAATCTACTTAAAATGGCGATCAAATTGTCGTTGTTAATAGGAAAGAAAGGTTTGATTACAATTGAATCCTAAAAAAAGAAACAAAAATAATAAAAGCCGGTTAATTTTACATTTCTAACTAGTTATGTATTAATTCTTAGCATAAACATAGAATAGATTGTGGGGGGAATGTTTGTTTGCTTTTAAAAACTTTCTTTTTAGCCCGGTCCGAATGGCTCAGTTGGTTGGAGCGTCCTCTTATACACTGAGAGTTCTGAGTTCAATTCCTGGTCAGGACACAATCTAGGTTTGGGATTCAATCCTGGGTCTGGTCATGTGCGGGAGGCAACGGATCGATCTTTCTCTCACGTCAATGTTTCTCTCTCTCTCCCTTCTTCTCTCTTTTTCTCAACTCAATAAAAACACCCTCGGGTGAGAATTTTAAAAATAATTAAAAACCTTATTTTTAGAGCAGTTATGTGTTTACAACAAAATTGAGAGGGAGGTACAGAGATTTCCTATTACCTACACACGGCCTCCCATTACCTACATCCCTCACCAGACTGATGCATTTTTTACCAAGGATGAACCTACATGGACACATCATGATCCTACAAAGTCCATAGTTCACCTTAGCGTTCACTCTTCATGCTGTACATTCCGTGGGTTTGGACAAATGTATAATGACACGTATAATATCAGAGTATTTTCACTGCCCTAAAAATCCTATGTGCTCTGTCTATTCGCCCCTGCCTCCTCTCAACCCCTAGCAACTCAAAAGAGTGTCTCCATAGATCTGCCTTTTCCAGAATGTCATAGAGTTGGACTCATGCAGTATGTAACCTTTTCAACGTAGCTTCTTTCACATGGTCACATGTGTTTAAGCTTTCGCCATGCCTTTTTATGGTTTGATAGTTCATTTCTTTTTAGCACTGAATACTATTCCATTGTCTGGATGTACCACAGTTTATCTATTCACCTCCTGAAGGGCATCTTTTTTTAAAAATATATTTTATTGATTTTTTACAGAGAGGAAGGGAGAGGAATAGAGAGTTAGAAACATCGACGAGAGAGAAACATCGATCAGCTGCCTCCTGCACACCCCCCACCGGGGATGTGCCCACAACCAAGGTACATGCCCCTGACCGGAATCGAACCCGGGACCCTTCAGTCCA